TTGAAGCAATTGTGAACAGGACTGTTTTCTTAATTTCCCTTTCTGTTAGTTTGTTATTGGCATATAGAAATGCAACTGATTTTTGGATATTAGTTTTGCATCCTGCTACTTTGCTGAATTCACTTATCAGTTCTAGTAGTTTCTTGGTGGAATCATTGGGGTTCTCTATGTACTACACAGCATCATGTTATCTGCAAAAAAAGACAGTTTTACCCCTTTCTTTCCAATGTGGATGCTTGTTAATTCTTCTTGTCTGATTGATATGATCCTAAGGGGAACATTTATAGCTTTTGCCCATAGAGTATGATGCTGGCAGTGGGTTTGTCATATATGGTTTTTATTATGTTTAGGTATGTTCCCTGTCTTTCCATTTGCTGAGAGGTTTTATCATAAATGGATGCTGGATTTTATCAAATGCTTTTTTCTCATCTATTGATATGAATATTTGGCTTTTATCCTTCACTTTATGTGGTGAATCACATTATCAATTTCCAAATGCTGACCCATCCTTGTGTTTACAGAATAAATCCCACTTGATCATGGTGTATGATCTTTTTGATGCACTGCTGTATTTAGTTTGCTAATACTTTGTTGAGGATTTTAGTGTCTATATTCCTCATGGATATTGGCCTATAATTTTCTTTCTTTGTAGTGTCTTTATCTGGTTTTGGAAGTAAGATAATGGTGGTCTCGTGAAATGCATTTGGGAGACTGCCCTCCTCTTGAATTTTTTTTTTTTTTGAAATTGACGAAAAGAGGTGTTAGTTCTTTGTGGAATGTTTAGTAAAATTCACCTGTGAATTTTATGTGAAGTCATCCAGTTCAGGGTTTTTGTTTGTTGGCAGTTTTTTTAAATCACAGCTTCAATTTCACTAGGTGTAATCTGTTTATTCATATTCTTTGAATCCTCCTGATTTTTTTGCAACACTGTATATTTCTAGGAATTTACCCATTTGTCCAGGTTGTCCAGTTAGTTGGCATATAGTTGCTTATATTTTCTTATAGTCCTTTGTAGTTCCTTGGTATAAGTTATTATTTATCCTCTTATATTTCTGATTTTATTTATGTGGGTCCCCTCTTTTTCTTGAGGAGTCTGGTTAAAGGCTTGTCAATCCATCCTTTCAAAGAACCGGCTCTTGCAGTCATTGATATTTTGTATCTTTTTTAAAATTCTATTCTGTTAATTATCCTCTGATCTTTATTATTTCCTACCTGCTCACTTTGGGCTTTGTTTGCTGTACTTTTTCAAGTTCCTTTTATGTAAATTTCATTGTTTATTTGAGCTTTTTCTTTTCTTTTTTTTTTTTTTTTTTTTTTTTTGAGCTAGGCCTGTAATGCTATGAATTTCCCTCTTAGGACTACTTTCCCAGTGTTCCACACATTTTGGGCTGTTGTGTTCTTATTTTCATTTGTTTCAAGGTATCTTTTCATTTCTTCTTTGATCTCATTGTTGACCCATTCATTGCTTATGAACATGTTATTTAGATTCCATGTCTTTGCATGCTTTTCAGTGTTTTTGTGATTGATTTCTAGTTTCACAACATTGCAGTCAGAGAAAATGCCTGATATTAATTTCAATCTTCTTAAATTTATTAAGACTTGTTTTGTGTCCTAGCATATGGTGTATCCTGGAAGAAGTTCCATGTGCACTTGAAAAGTATGTATATTCTGCTGCTTTGGGATGAAATGATCTAACAATATCAATTAAATCCATTTGATCTAGTGTGTTCTTAAAGGCCACTTTCTCCTTGTTGATTTTCTACTGGGAAGATCCACTGAAGTCAATCTAGTATTAACATCCCCAACTATGATTGTATTTCTGTGGTTCTCTTCCTTTATGTCCATCAAGATTTGCTTCACATATTTAGGTGCTCCTATGTTGGGTGTGTAAATGTTTATGAAGGTTATAGCATCTTCTTGGGTTGCTCCCTTTATAATCATGTAGTGTTCCTCTTTGTCTTCGTATAGCCTTGGTTTTAAAGTCTATTGTGTTGGATATAATTATTAGTACCCCAGCTTTTTTCCCCTTTCCATTTGCATGAATATTTTTCCACCCCTTTACTTTTAGTCTGTGTGTACCTTTTGATCTGAGGTGGGGCTCTTGTAGACAGCATATATATGGGTCTTGTTTTCTTAACCATTCAGCTACCCCTATGTCTTTTGGTTGGAGCATTTAAGCCATTTACACTTAAGTTGATTATTGATAGATATGTATTTACTGCTGTTTTATTGTTAGACTCCTTTCCTTTTTTCTCTCTCTTTTTCTTCTTCTTCCTCTTAAAGCAAATCCTTTAACATTGGCTGCAGCACTGGTTTGGTGTTAACAAACTCCTTTAACTTTTTCTTTTCTGGGAACCTTATTTCTCCTTCAATTTTAAATGATAACTTTGTTGGGTAAAGTAGCCTTGGTTGTAGGTCCTTGCTTTTCATCACCTTGAATATTTCACACCACTTCCTTCTGGCCTGAAATGTTTCTGTTGAGAAATCAAATGACAGTCTAATTGATGCTCCCTGGTAGGTAACTACCTGCTTTTCTCTTTGGGCTCTAAGGATTCTCTCCGTGTCTTAAAGCTGCCATTTTAATTATGACATGTCTTGGTGTAGGCCTCTTTGTGTCCAACTTCTTTGGAATTGTCTGTGCTTCCTGGACTTGTGTCTTTTCCCTTCACCAAGATTAGGGCTGTTTTCAATCATTACGTCTTCAAGTAGATTCTTGATACCTTGCTCACTCTTATTTCTGTCTGGTATTCCACTGATGTGGATGTTGCTATGCTTCATGTGGTCAAAAAATGTTTCTTAAACTCTCCTTATTTTTTAAATTCATTTTTCTTTTTGCTGTTCTTCCTGGGTGTTTTTTTCTACCTTGTCTAACAAATTAATGATTCAATCCCCTGCCTCATCTAACCTACTCTTTATTCCTTCCAGCATATTATTTATTTTGGATATTGCCTTCTTTACTTCTGATTGGTCCTTTTTAATGGCTTATATGTCTTTTTTCATGCTCTTGAGTATCCTTATAATCATTACTCTAAACTATCTGATAAATTGTTTGCCTCCATTTCATCTAGTTCTACTGGAGAATTCTCTTGTTCTTTCATTTGGGGTCTGCTTCTTTATATTTGTTTGTATGTATCAGGTAGATCTGCAAAGACTGGTGCAGGCCTTCATCAGAGGCTGACTGTGATTGGCTCTGGGCTACTTGTTTAAAGCTATAAGCAGCAATCCACAGAGTATGGCTCCCTCTGCTGGGCCTGGTTTTGTGTAGAAAAACCAAGCTATGTACCAAGATCAGCTTTTACCGGGACCACGCCTGGGGAGGGTCAGCTGAAGTCTCTGAGCTCCCAGAGATCCACTTCAGTTATTAAACTAATCACTGATATAGCCTAAAGCTGTACTCAGCAGCCTGGCTTAAACTCCACAGGGTGGGGCAGAGTAATTCCTACTGGTGGGGCTACTGTTTCCATTCAGCCTGATGTGACTTTGTGGGGAATGCTGTGCCTGAGAAAGATGGCTTCTGTATTTTGGGGGATGACCCAGCACAGGCATCCTGGCAGCTGTTCCCTCAGTTCTCTCCCCAGAGCCACCAACCCCAAACTTCCTCTACAACTTCAGCTGCCACCCGTGGAGACCCAGCCAGCTCTCTCACACCTTCTCCATCCACACTGCCTACCAGTCATGTTGTGGTGAAGTGGTTTATTTTGTCTGTCCTGGACTATGAGGCTACTCTCCAGCTAGAGTCCCAGTGAATAGTATTTCAGGATAATCTCTCTACAATTTAGTTGCAATTCTAGATTGGTCCTCAGAGGAGGTTAGTATAGCTTCTACTTACTCCTCTACCATCTTGGGTCAGTCTTATTTTTCTGTCTTATTATCACATTGTTTTAATCATTATGGTGCTATAGCCAAACTACACTTTATAGCATAGTTATCATTCCCTGAACACGACACTCATAATCCCCGTGTCAGCATAAACTGCACCTACCTATCACTTATTCCCAACTCTACAATCTGCAATTAAACCACCAAACAACAACAAAAATTCTCAAAAATATATTATTCTTTTAAGATCCAGTCAAACATCATCTTTTTCACAGATCTTTTCTAATTATCCCAGAGAATGAACCCTACTTTCATGTTTTTAACAACATTCAATTCACATCTCTGAAATATCACTTAAAACACAGACTGTTAAATTATCTATTTATATATCTGTCTCCTTTAGTATACTGTGAGTTATTCAAGGTTTGGGTAGCAAATTTTCACTTTGTACTGTGTTGGCCAAAAAGTCTGTTTAGTTTTTCTGTAAAACAAAAGACATATTTTTCATTTTCACCAATAACTTTATTGATTTGGATATTTTGAGTATGTTGGCCATCTCCCGCATAATATAATGTTGATTGTTCTCAATCAATGTCTCTGTTTGATTGCTATCACTTAACTGGTCTACCTGACCATGAAGCACTGTCCACTGAGAAAGGTCCAGCACAAAAACTTTGCCAATCATTTTTGATACATTTGATAAGTCACAGCACCTTCTCCAGAAACTGCATAAATCCTTTTGTGTTTTAGTTGCATTTTTAGCTTCCTTGAAATAGTAAAGCATAATATGCTGAAAATGTTGTGTATTTTCTTCCATCTATAATATTACAAGGCTACACAAAAGTTAACCAATTTCCATGGTTTTTTTTTAATGCACACTGATAATGTTAGCTGTCCCAAAAAAATTTAACAAAATTATTTCGAATGAAGTTAAAGACAAGTAATTGCTATTATAGCCATCTTATGGAAAAAGACCTAATGAACTTTTAACCAACCTAGTATTATTAGCATGTAACACAGTAAATAGTATACAATAATGTATTTTAGAAAGTATAAAGAAAATCCCTAAATGTATCTGTGTGTTTTTAAAGCAGATCTCCATTTTACAAATACTAGAAGCTATAGCAGTATCTTCAAAGAAAACACATGTTAGAGTATCTGAAAAATAAAACTGCACCTACCTTGAGTGTCTTGATCATAGTTGGATCAGTTGACCTAACGTAGAAACTCTTTAGATAAGGTTCAAACATACCCTAGATAACAAAGATAAACAGAAACATACATTTAATGATACTAAAGCACTCATTTCTCTCTTAAATCATATATTCTCAACGTACCTACCTTTCTTTGAATTGACATGGTTGCTATATTCTGTAGGACAATATACTGCACCTCCCTGGAAATTAAAGGATAATTTACACTGGGTATATTTTCCAATGAAATATCTTTAACAGTACATTTAAAAAAAATTAGTGATAAGTTTCATATTGAACTCTTAAATATAATATTGAACAATTGTTAGTAAATTTTAGATATTTATGCCTCATTTTATATTTCCCTATAAATTACTAATATATTAAATTTGTTTCACCATCAGTAACAGTTGAACCCTTTTTATAACACTGTATTCCTAACATGTAAAGCCAATTCAGTGGCTGCTCTGAACCCATGCAAGGAAGATGTTCTTAAGCCTTATGACATAAATGTGCCTGAAAAGTTCATATAAAGTCTTGATTAGAAGGCTTATTGTGTCATTCAATACTCCCCAGTGAAAGGCAGATTAAAAAACAGGCATGTTGCCCTGGCTGGTGTAGCTCAGTGGACTGAGTGCAGACCTGCAAACCAAACAACTGTGGTTCGATTCCCAGTCAGGGCACATGCCTGGGTTGCAGGCCAGTTCCCAGCAGGGGATGCACAAGAGGCAATCATATACTGATATTTCTCTCCCTCTCTCCTTCCCTTCCCCTCTAAAGATAAATAAATACAATGTTTAAAAAATAAAAATAAACAGTCATGTTATTTTTTACATCCAAAATATCTAAGAAATGAAGGGAAAACTGAATCTGCTACAAGGCTTCACATGAAAGATGCATTCCTGGCGCTTCTGATAATCTCTTAACTAGTTCTAGAAAACAGAAACTATTGAACTGATAAAAGGAAAAGGAATGACTATGTGTAAATCCTGAGAAAGGGACAGAAACCCAAAAGAAGTATTATATTATTAAGGAATGGCAAAAGCCTGTCTAAGCCAAAAGTTCTGGCACTAAATTCAAGGTAAGGACAAAAATAATATGTATCTCTTCCCCACAACACTATTAGGGGAAACACTCAATGAAAAAAATTTCAATTTAAAATAACTAATTATTACAAAATATCCAGGGTAAGCTAAATAACACAAACAATGGTGTTGTTAAATATGCATACACACAAAAAAAGAACAAAGGACAGAAAAACTGATCTTAAACTTTGAAAGTACATGTCCCAGAAACTTAATAAAAGTTTTCTGAATTGTGTACCTAAACTGCTGAATTACTATGAGGTAAAATGAAAAGGAAAGGTACTCTTGCTATCTATCTACATTCCTATCTACAGGAAACAAAAGGAGTAGGCATTTCTTTAAAATTAGCAGCTACTAAGAACATAGTTCTCTTTTTAAATAGAGAAAACGATATTGGCAGATAATGACTAGACCAAGTCGGTGGTCACACTTAAAGGTATTGTAAATGTTGAATCAATATATTGTATACCTGAAACTAATATAACATTGTATACCAACTATACCAAAATAAAAATAAATATATATAAATAAAAAACTCAATAAAAATAGAGTACTACAATAATTAGATATTGCAAGTTTACAGGAAGTAGCAATTCTTTCATAATCTATGTCATTTAGCATAGGTACTGCTTTATATAAAATGAAATATACAAAGGATTATAAGAAATTACTATGAAGAACTATATGCCAAGAAATCTGAAAACCTAGGTGAAATGGACAAGAAGACTATATTTCTAGACTATAGAAAGACTATATTTCTAGACTTCTGGAAAAATATAGTCTTCCAAAACTGAATGAAGCAGAAAGCCTGAACAGACCAATTAACAGCTGATGAAATTAACAGCAGTAATCAAAAAGCTTCCAACACACAAAAGCCCTGGACCAGACAGTTTAACAGGAGAATTCTACAAAGCATTTAAGGAAAAACTAATCCCTACCCTTGACAGATTATTCCAAAAAATCTAAAAAAGATGAAAGACACCCAAACTCTTTTTATGAAGCCAGTATCATCCTAATCCCCAAACCAGATAAAGACATAACAAAGAAAGAAAACTTCAGGCCAATATCACTGATAAACAGAGGTTAAAATCCTCAACCAAATATTGGCGAACCACATCCAGCAATACATTAAAAAGATCATACACCATGACCAAGTGGGATTCATCCCAGGGATGCAAGGATGGTACAATATTTGAAAATCAATAAACGTAATACATCACATAAACAGAACGAAAGATGAATCACGATAATATCGATAGATGCGAAAAAAGCATTTGATAAGGTACTGCACCTATTTACGATAAAAACACTCAGCAAAGTGGGAATAGAGGGAGCATTCCTCAACATAATAAAGGCCATATATGACAGACCTACAGCCAACATCACATTCAATGGGGAAAAACTAAAATCTTTCCCACTGAGATCAGGAATAAGACAAGGATGCCTGCTTTCACCACTTCTATTCAACACAGTATTGTAAGTTCTAGCCACAGCAATCAGACATAAAAAAAAATAAAAGGCATCCAAATTGGAAAGAAGAAAGCAAAACTGTCATTGTTTGCAGATGACATGATAGTATACATAGAAAATCCTATAGTCTCCACCAGAAAACTAGTTGACCTAATAAGTGAATTTGGCAAAACAGCAGGATACAAAGTCAATATTCAGAAATCAAAGGCATTTTTGTACACTAACAATGAAATATGAGAAACAAAAATCAGAAAAAAAACCCATATGATATAGCAACAAGAAAAATAAAGTACCTAGGAATAAACCTAACCAAGGAGGTAAAAGACCTGTATGTGGAGAACCATACAACACTGAAGAAAGAAATTAAGGAAGACACAAACAAATGGAACTATGTGCCATGTCCACTGATTCGAAGAATTAACATCATCAAAATGTCCATACTACCCAAACAATTTATAGATTCAATGCAATATCAAAGTACCAATGACATATTTCACAGATATAGAACACTTCAGAAATTTATATGGAACTATAAACAACCCCAAATAGCTACAGCAATTTTAAGAAAGAAGAACAAAGTAGGAGGGATCACAATACCTGATACCAAACTGTATTACAAAGGCTACTGTAATCCAAACAGCCTGGTACTGGAATAAGAACAGACACATATACCAAGAGAACAGAATACAAAGCCCACAAATTAACCCATCTTTATAGTCAAATTAATATTTGACAAATGGGAAAGAAGCACAAAATGGAATAAAAATAGCATCTTCAACAAATGGTGTTAGGAGATCTGGACAGCTACATGCAAAAAAATAAAACTCAATCACCAACTTACACCATACACAAAAATAAATTCAAGGTGGATAAAAGACTTAAATATAAGTTGTGGCACCATAAAAGTCCTAGAGGAAAACGTCAGCAGAAAAGTCTCAGACGTTCCATGCAGCAATATCTTCACTGACATGTCCCCTAGAGCAAGGGACATAAAGGAAAGAATAAACAAATGGGATCTCATCAAATTAAAAAGCTCCTGCATGGTTAAAGAAAACAGCATTAAAATGAAAAGAGAACCAACTAGATGGGAAAACATATTTGCCAATGATACCTCAGACACACAGGTTGGATCTCCAAAATATATAAAGAACTCACACGACTCCACTCCAGGAAGACAAAAAAACTGAATTAAAAAGTGGTCAAAAGACTTGAACAGATACTTCTCCAAAGAGGACATACAGAGAGCCCAGAGGCATATGAAAAGATGCTCAGCATCATTAATTATCAAAGAGATGCAGATTAAAACCACAATGAGATACCACTTAACACTAGTGAGAATGGCCATCATAAACAAAGTGACGAACAAGTGTTAGAGGAGATATGGAGAAAAGGGAAACCTACTGCACTTTTCGTGGGAATGCAGACTGGTGCAGCCACCGTGGAAAACAGTATGGAATTTTTTCAGAAAACTAAAAATGGTTGCCTTTTGACCCAGCAATTCCACTGCTGGGATTATATCCTAAGAACACTGAAACACCAATCCAAAAGAACCTATGCACCCCAATGTTCACAGCAACACAATTTACAGTAGCCAAGTGCTGGAAGCAACCTAAGTGTCCATCAGTAAATGAATGGATCAAAAAACTATGGTACAATTACACAATGGAATACTATGCAGCAAGAAGGAAGGTACTCCTACCCTTCCCGACAGCATGATGGAACTGGAGAGCATTATGCTAAGTAAAATAAGCCAGGCAGTGAGAGATAAACACCATATGATCTCACCTTTAACTGGAACATAATCAACAAAAGAAAAAAGCAACCAAAATATAACCAGAGATACTGAAATTAAGAACAATCTAACAATAACCAAGGGGGAGGGGAGGGAAGAGGGGACAATGAGGGAAGGCTTTTCGGGAACTATTATAAAGGACACATGGACAAATCAAGGGAGAGGGTAGAAGCGAGGGAGGGACGTGGGTTTGGCTGGGGTTGGGGAGAAAATGCAGACAACTGTAATTGAACAATAAAATAATTTTTAAAAATTAAAATAAAATGAAATATAGCTGTAGTTACACTCAGTCAATATGATAATACATTAGTATAGTTTTCAGTGATTCCAGATTTACTAGAACTTCCAAACGTTATTGTCAAACCTAGAAATATCAAACACAAATACTAGGTTACTGGTGACAGTATGTATTATATGCCAAAAGTTTTTTTTAAACTCTTTAGGCAATTTGGGCTTGACATTTAAAAACTTAAATATTTATCACAACTCTGTGATAAATTATATAAAATCTTTTATAATGATCCTTTTTAGTGTCAAATCTTATTGATAAAATACAATCAGAGCTACGTAAATGCTTAAAAGACACATTATATGTCTTCAAACATTCCTTCTGAAGAAATACAAAAGAAAAGATACATAAAACCACGTCCTACCTATTGCTGCGAAGTAAACGCACTAGTGATTTAGAAATAATGCCAGCTTCAGATTTCGGTGCTATGTGCCAATACAGCTGAGCAACTGCCATAACCACCTAAAAGATAAAACATGAAAACAGTCAGAACTATGAACAATGGAGCACAGTTCCTAAGAACATTCTTAAATATTATTTAACACCTATGAAATTCCTACAAAATAAAGACAAATATGTTGTTACTCTTTATAGCAGGTGATTAGTGCTCCCCTCCACCACTGCTGCCAAGAATTTATGTCCACCCTCAAATGTGACCTTATTTGGAAATAAGCTCTTTGTAGATGTTATATTAATGTAACGATCAGGACAAGGTCATACTGAATTAGAGTGGGTCCTAAATCCAATGAAAATGTCCTTATGAGTGACAGAATAAAGACACACCAAGACACAGAGAAGGCAATTTGACAATGGAGGCAGACACAGCATGATAAGCCACTTAAGGATGCCAAGAATTGTTGGCACCCACAATAAGCTAGCAAAAGTCTGTTTCACCCTCGGAGCCTCTAGAAGGAACCAACTCTACTGACACCTAGATTTTGACTTCTGGCCTCCTGAAATATGAGAAAATAAATTCTGTCTTTTAATCCACCTAGTTTGTGGTAATTTGTTTATTGCAACCACAGAAAAGAAAGCTAGTAATCCTCAAAAAAGAAAACAGATGTTAAATGAACAACCTAAGACCTGAAAGCCAATATACAGCAAAGCTTGACATGATACTGTAAATCCCAGTCTTCCTAGCAATGCTGCTGCTGTTCTGATACTGGGAATATTTTAATAAAGAATCATAAACATGCCTTTCCAAATGAAGTCAGACACTTAAAGATAACAGTAATAAGGAAGCTGAATTTTTTTAAATCAGTACATTTTAGTTATAATTAAAACAATTCCTCTCAAATAGTAGCATTTTAAATGATTTTGGTTACAAAAATGCAGAACCTTACAAAGTCTTTGGTTCACACTCATTATAAGGGTGATCATAATTTCTCATAAAATATGAGAATTCTGTTTCCCCTACATGCCTTTCCACTTAGATCCAGAGATCAAATCCAAACTTCCCATTTACTGAACATATTCACATTAACATGTGACAACTACAAAACAGAGCTACAGAGAAGTCCCATCATCTTATATTTGGCTCAGAAGATAGGTTAATACTACTTTACTTCTAGCTGGTTTACAGAGCTCTAAGAAATATATGACAAGGGTCTTACAGGATGCTCACAGAACTGGTTAATTTTAGCCACAAATTAGATGTACAAATGAAGGCTACACTAAGTGAAATGAAGGGAAATGCACAGGGAACCAATAGTGATGGGAAGAACACTGGGACTCAAATCAATGGAGTGGACCAGAAGGAAGAAAGAAACATTCAACCAGAACGGAATGAAGAAACAAGAATTTTTTTAAATGAGGAGAGTCTTAGAAACCCCCAGGACATCTTTAAACATTCCAACATCTGAATTATAGGGGTACCAGAAGGGGAAGGGGAACAGCAACAAGTGGAAAAGTTATTTGAACAAATAATATAGGAGAACTTCCCCAATCTAGCAAAGGAAACAGACTTTCAGGAAGTCCAGGAAGCTTAGAGAGTCCCAGAGAAGTTGGACCCAAAGAGGAACACACCAAGGCACATCATCATTACATTAGCCAAGATTAAAACGAAGGAGAGAATCCTAGAAGCAGCAAGAGATAAGGAGACAGTTGCCTACAAAGGACTTCTCATCAGACTGTCAGCTGATTGCTCAAAAGAGACTTTACAGGCAAGAAGGGGCTGCAAAGAAGTATTCTAAGTCATAATGGCAAGGACCTACATCTAAGATTGCTCTATCCAGCAAAGATTTCATTTAGAATGGAAAGACAAAGTACTTCTCAGATAAGGTCAAGTTCAAGGAGTTCATCATCACCAAGCCCTTATTTTATGAAATGTTAAAAGGACTTATCTAAGAAAAAGAAGATTAAAAAAAATGTATAGTAAAATGACAGCAAACTCACAATTATTCACAACCACACCTAAAATGAAAACAAACTAAGGAAACAATTAGAACAGGAACAGAACCACAGAAATGGAGATCACATGGAAGGGTAGCAACAGGGGAGTGGGAGGAGGAGAGGAAAGGTACAGAGAATAAGTAGCACAGATGGCAGACAGAAAATAGGCGGAGGGCAAGAATAGTATGGGAAATGTAAAAGCTAAAGAACTTAAGACACATGGACATGAACTAAAGGGGAGGAATGGGGGTGGGAGAGGGTGTGCAGGGTGGAGGGGAATGAAAGGGGGGAAAATGGGACAACTGTAATAGCATAATCAATAAAATATATTTTAAAAAATACTAAATCACTTATAAAGCAGAGTTTTAGGTGGCAATTAACAGCCACTTAACAACCATCTAGCCAAGCAAGGGCACATTAAAATATAAGCAAACTTTCAACATTAGTAGTAAATAATACTTTTCTTATTACTGTTCATAGTTACTTAATGATGATTTAAAAACTAAATTACTAGGTAAAAGATAAAAACTTCTCCGAATGTCTAACAAATATATACAAAGCACTATGCTCTAAATTTTCAAGTATCAGAAAACAAACTAATTCAAGTAAAATTCCTCATTTTCAAAGTTTTTTCTAATTGAAGAAAATCATTAAGAATATGTTTAATTTAAAAAATTAATAAAATGTTTAACTTGAACCCATCGAGCCTTTACATATAACTTCCAGTTAACAGGGAATTCAAATTATAGAAGAAAAACTTAAATGGCACTCTCTAAAGGAATCAACCAGATAAACACAGAACACTCTGCCAGACTTAAGAGGTTTAATGGAGATAACAAGCAGATGAAATGCAGTAGACACTGGTTTGGATGAACCACTTACAAAGATAATTTAAGATAAATTAGTATTAAATTTTAGATGAAATTTAATAAAATAGATGAGATGAAATTTTATTGAAATAGAAAGGTGGAAAGAACTGACTAGAAAATAAGCAAGTTAAAAATACTACATACAGTATGATTTCTATCTTGGTTTAAAAAACATGTATGTACAGACATACACACATGGGAATATATGTATACTTACGCAGAAAAAAGATTTGGAAGAAAAAATGTATTAAGATACTGTAACAGTGATTTCTGAATGATAGAAATATGTTTCAATTTAGTTTTGCTAGTAAATGTTTTTTTAATATCCTATTGTGCACATATATTTAAAAAATAAAGGTTTATTTCAAATAAAAAAGTTAAAACAAAATAAAAAAAAACTAGGATCTAAATATAGATGGTTTTTAATAGTTATTGCTACCAGCTAAAATTTACTATGTTTGAGGCATTACAATAGGTGCTTTTATCAGGTAAATAAAAATATGAACTAATACCAGATTAAGTACCCCAACTACAAACTAACAACAGAGAAATGTACACAGTCTTCCAATCAGCTCAGAAACATCTTGAGCTCATATCTTAGGAAAAATCCAATCAACAAAACCACAAAAACGTAAATCCATCCAGTGGGCATACAACTACCAAACTAAATAATCTCACCAAAATCTGACTGTTATATAAAGAAACAAACAAATGATCCACTACACACCCAAATATAAAGACTTGTTTACTACACTTACATACTTGTAACCATGGCTTTTAAAAAGAAATCTGTGAGAATTACTTCCCATAAGGAGTTGAACATACCGCTGCATTTCTGCTCTGCAGCAAAGGTTTTGTATTCCGGATTAGAAGTCTGTGGTCTGGGTCCATAGCGTAAGTCCTCTTCCTTTTGTCGGCCTTTTCTTCATCAGACTCATAGAAATTCTTTTCATTGTCCTCCAGACCATCATCCTACAGGAAACAGATCCAATCCCATGTTTAGTTCAGACCTTGAACAGCACAAATACTACACAAAGAAAACTTCTTGAAACATCTACAATAATGATCATTTTATCACACAACTATTGAGGCAATTTCAAAATACTTGCTACTCACACGAAGTAAGGCCTTGTTTTTTCTGTATTTTATAACACAGTAACTGTTCTTTAGTGCTACCGATAATACTTCTTTCATATTACACAGGGAAACTCTGAAAATATTAAATCCCCATTAGATTCTAACAAAGCCCATCACATAAGACTACCTAAAACCTGAAAACTGTTTGTTTAAATTACCAATCACTCTGTAATTGGATCAAAGGGTCAGAGAAAAGAGGAGAATTTTTTGAACTGCAATACACATAAAGGAAGTCATAATAAAGCTTGACAAGTTAAACACTAGTGATTAAGTAGGCCCCTACATTGTCAAGAAAGACTCGGTTTGAGCTTCATGTATATCCTTAACAGCTGATTTGTTTTTGTTGTTATCCTTTTTATCTGAATTCTTTATTATCTTTGTCAGTAATATCAATCTAAAGGCATCTAGTACTAAAAATAAACAAACAAAAAATACAAAAATAATAATATCCTAACTTGAATAACAGAGAAAAAACAGACCGAGGACAAGGAAAACAAAATCCCCCCAAAGCAGAACTCAGGGACCTGAGGAACACACAAAACAAGTAACATTTTCTGTCATATGAATCCTGCCAGAAAGAAGAAAGAGGCTGGGATTGAAAGTTATATTGGCTAAGAAAGTCCTAAATTTGGCAAAAAACATAAACTACAGATTGTATAAGCCAAATAAGCCCTAAACAGGATAAACTCAAAGAAATTCAGTAAAGACACAATTTAAGTCAAACTTCTGAAAACTAAAGACAGGAAACATCTGAGAGCATCATGACAGAAATTACATGAGAGGATGAGGTTAGGTAGTTAGTAATAAGGATGGAAAATGTAGGGGGTTGGAGGAAGATGGCGGCAGAGTAGGACAGAGGATTTCACTTCCCCCCAAGCACCAGAGAAAAATGTAGGGCAGCAGATTCATGAACTACTTAGAAGTGGAAGTCAACAGGATGCAGTGACTGAACACGACAAATGAGATGGGGGCACTTGAAAGGATGCCCCCATTTCCAGCTTGGATGACCAAGCAGATGATGCTGCCGATGCTGCCAGTTAAGAGTGTTGGGAACCTTACACCTGGCTTCTAGCTAAAAACATTGCATTGATTACAGGAACCTGTGCGCTCCACGAGCCAATTGGCTACAGGTACATGAGGCGTGCATGCACTCCACAAGCCAATCAGCTACAGGCACATGAGGTGTCCACGAGTACCAGTTGCACCCAAGTAATCAATAAGTGGGCCCTTCTTTGTCTCAAGCTAGCCAATAGCAAGCAACCTAATCTCCTTCCTCTCCCCCCCCATATATATACCCAGTTCAGAAAAATAAAGTTTGCAGCTTGATCAGAATCTTTTGTCTTGCTGCCATTCTTCGCGCCTCTTGTCCCCCCAACTCATTTGTTCTAGGTAGGTGGTTGAGCCCCAGTTGATTGCTCCGCGGGCCGGAGCAAGTGGCGCCCAACGTGGGGGCCCGATAGCCGCTGGAACAAAGCGCCGTCCCGCCAGTGACTTCCCCGCACAGATTGGATCCCCGGGACTGCTCGACCGCGAGACAGATCCAGGAGCCCCTCCCCTCGACGGCAAACTCGGCCAGGTAAGGCCCCCAATCATGGGACAAGCATGTTCACAAAGTGATATTTTTATAAGTCAATTAAAGCAAACTCTCAAGGTGCGAGGAACTCGAGTTAAGAAAAAAGGATTTAGTTTTATTTTTTGACTTTATATTCAAAATGTGCCCCTGGTTCCCCCAAAAGGGGACGATTGACCCGCAGTGTTGGAACCGGGTCGGAGATTGCCTTAATGACTATTATCGAATCTCTGGCCCCGAGACCGTCCCTATCACCGCCTTCAGTTATTTTAATCTTATTAAAGAAATCTTAGTCACTCATGGGCATTCTCCCGATGTCCAGAGCCTCTGTAAAGAGGGACAAGAAGTTCTAAAAAATCAATCCTGGTTCCCCTCGAGGGCCCCTTCAGCCAAAAATCTCTGTAAAGAGGGACAAGAAATTTCAAAAAATCAATCTCGGCCCCCTTCCAGGGCCCCCTCAATTTGCCCCTCAATTTCTATTAACATAGAGGAAGAGATTAAAAAAACCCCTAACCCTTCCCGTAATTCCTCAGATAACCATGTCGACCAATTAAACCCAGCAGAAGAGGCCGAACTCGAAAAAGAGGCAGCTTCTTACAATAACCTTGACTGGCCTCCTCTCTCTTCTGCCCCCTTACTTAAAGATCTCCCAGCTTTTCGGCCGCCCCCCCTATGCACCCTCAAACCTACCACCCACAGCCACCCGTATTCTGGCCCCCATTCTAAACAACCCCGAGCCACCAACAATCCACCAAAAACCCTTTCTTCAAAAAACCTCCATTCAAGAAGCCTTAATTCTCATTCGAGAAATCAAGGCCGTGGCTAAAGAATTCACTGATTTAACCATATCCACCCCCCACTGAATTACTAGCTTTCCCCAAACTGCGGGGAGTAGACCTAGATACCCAGACTGCTGACATTTTAATAGCCACACATCAAGCTCTTAACATATCTAACCCTCACCTAGCTGAGGACTGCTGGTTATGTATGAGCCTAGGCACCCCCATGCCTTTAGCTATTCCTGTCAATATATCCACCCTTAATGAATCACAGCTACAATGTAACCCTAGTTTACCTTTTAGAGTCCAACCTACAATATTCCCACCCTCCCCGTGCTTACAAGGCATAGCTCAAAATAATAGCTTCGACATTCCCGTCGGCTTTATAGAATTTACTAGTTGTAGCAGCATAACCAATTATAGTAACCCCCTTTGCCCAGGTCATGGACAAATATTCGTTTGTGGAAACAACCTGGCTTTTTCAGCCTTGCCCGCTAACTGGACCAGGCTATGTGTCTTGGCTACCTTACTACCAGATATAGATGTTCTCCCCAGAGACGAGCCTGTCCCCATTCCCAGCTTAGACCATATTGCGGGGCGACAAAAAAGAGCATTACCATTCATACCCTTATTAGTTGGATTAGGCGTCTCTGGAGCAGTTGCCACAGGGACTGCAGGATTGGGAGTCGCAGTCCATTCATACACAAAGCTCTCTAAACAACTAATTGATGATGTCCAGGCTCTATCCAGTACCATTAGTGACATCCAAGACCAAGTAGACTCCCTAGCAGAAGTTGTCCTTCAAAACAGACGAGGTCTAGATTTACTTACTGCAGAACAGGGAGGTATCTGTTTGGCTTTACAGGAACACTGCTGCTTCTATACCAACAAACCAGGCATCGTCCGAGACAAGATAAAACAGTTACAAGAAGACTTAGAAAAAATAAGAAAAGAACTTTCCGAACACCCCCTTTGGGGTGGACTCAACGGAATTCTCCCCTACCTCTTTCCCCTCTTAGGACCTTTAGTTTCTATCACCCTCATCCTCTCCTTTGCCCCCTGGATTCTCAGACGTATAACCAACTTAGTCAAAGACCAACTTAACAGTGTACTAGGAAGACCTGTTCAGGTGCACTATCAACAATTAGAAATGCTGGAACATGGAGCGGACTCTGAGCCGTACAGCCGCTGGGGTGCTAGCCCACGATTCCTGCCAGGTTCCCCTCCTGCGGGAGCAGCATAACCCTCGAAGGTATGCTTCACAGCCAAGTAGCTGTGATAGACACCGCTGGGTGCAAGGCAAAGCACTGCAAGGAGAGGCCTGTACATACGGCCACTTCGAGTCTCCTGAGAGGTAAGCTGACTTGCAAAGAGGTTGGTACCCAACTCCTCTCCTCCCAAAAGGTACCCTAAAGCTCAGGATGAGCCCAGGAGGAGTCAGGCCTCTGCCTCCCCCAGCCGGTTAAAGTCTACCCTACCTACATTCTCCTCACCCTCAAAGTAATAAAAAGGGGAGGAGATGTTGGGAACCTTACACCTGGCTTCTAGCTAAAAACATTGCATTGATTACAGGAACCTGTGCGCTCCACGAGCCAATTGGCTACAGGCACATGAGGTGTCCACGAGTACCAGTTGCACCCAAGTAATCAATAAGCGGGCCCTTCTTTGTCTCAAGCTAGCCAATAGCAAGCAACCTAATCTCCTTCCTCTCCCCCCCCCCCATATATATATACCCAGTTCAGAAAAATAAAGTTTGCAGCTTGATCAGAATCTTTTGTCTTGCTGCCATTCTTCGCGCCTCTTGTCCCCCCAACTCATTTGTTCTAGGTAGGTGGTCGAGCCCCAATAGATTGCTCCGCGGGCCGGAGCATAAGAGAACCTGTACAGGAGGGAAACACTATCTCTCTTTCCCAATGCTGTTTGCTATACAAACATTCTAACAAGACAGTCCAGAAAAGAAAAAAAAAAACCTATCAATGCCTTTACTCAGAAGAACTGCAAACATGAGAAAAACCCATTAAGAATTGTCTCCCATGGGAAAAAAAAGTTTCCCACTAGTTTCTTTTGCTCATGACTCACCTGCCCCTATTCATCTGAGTGAATTTTCTTTCCATAAATTAATAAATTCTCTCCAGTAAAAGAAAATCTATCATTTGCAATCTCTAATTGTTCTTCTTTCATTGTGGCAGGATAGTTAAAAAAGTTACATAGCTAGGCACAGAGTTCTTAGACTTGACACCAAAAACACGATCCATAAAAGGAAACATTGATAAATTGAATCTTATCAAAATTTAAAATTCTGCTCTGTGGGTTTACAGGGAGTGGGGGGCAGGGTGGGGAGAAAATACAGGCAACTGTAATTAAACAACAATAAAATTTAAATTAAAAAAAAATTCTTGCTCTGTCGGGGGTAAACAGAAAACAAAACAAAAACCTCTCAAGAGGAGGAAACAAGACCAGGTACAAGCAAACAGAAAATATCTGCA